CGAGTAACACCCAGGAGGGCTCACGGGGAAACTCCATTCTCCCTAACCTATGGGTGTGAAGCAAGGCTGCCCATCGAAGCTGAATTCCCCACGTTTCGGGAGTCAAATTATCAACCCCAGCAGAATGAGGAAGATCACTTGGCCGAACTCAACTTGGTCGAAGAGCGGAGAATGGCCGCGGAAGTCAAAATGAGCACATACCAACAAGTTGTGAAGAAGTACCATGATAACAAGGTCGGGCCGCGATACTTCCAAGTTGGGGATGAAGTCCTACGAAGAAGAGAAGCAAGTAGACCCGGCGACGGGGGAAAGCTAGCAAAAAACTGGGAAGGCCCATATAGGGTTAGAGCCATCATTCGCCCGGGGACATACCGATTAGAAACTCTTGAAGGGGTACCGGTAGAGAGAACCTGGAATTCCCATCATCTTCGCAAGTTCTACAAATGATTGTAATACTAGGCAAGGCCTACTTTATTATCAATCAAACCGATGATGTTCAATACTCTATTTGGTAGCGGCAGGATTGATAGGCCGAACCTATCCTAGGAGGGCTTCCTGGGTGGATCGAATCCACTTGGCTAAGCCAACTGAGACACAGGCCCGGACCTGGCACGCTGGTTACTACACCGGTCTTGCTCAGTATAATAGAAAAAATGTCAAAACCCGGAAGAGGGGCCCGGAAGAGGGTATGCCTGCAAGAGGGCTGGACCTGGAAGAGGGTTCGAACCGTACTTACACGGGCCCATGAGATTTGACTGGCGTCGGGGAATCAACCGGCGCCGTCAAATTGATTGGGGACTAGAAAGATGCCCGTTAAAAGAAATAGAAGGGGATCGTCCACCGTGGCGCATCCCGTATCCCCCTTCTCAGGGAAGACTTGAACGGGGGGTGAGCTAAGGCCTCCCCGGGATGGTAGAAGTCAAAGGGTCATTAAAAGACTTAATCACCCGGAAGAGGGGGCCCTAGAAGAAGGGTGCATTTGAACCTTGGAGAGGGTTCGAAACCATTCGACATGGTTAAATCTCCAGTATTCTTACCGGTTAAGGATACTACAAGAATTTCTAGGTTACAGGTGTTTCCATCTACAACCTACCGATAAAAAAAAAAAAAAAGTACCCCGGTCGGGTATGGGCACAACAGAACTTCGAAAGTTCCACGTCCGTCGGAAGGCAAGGCAGTTGCCTGGTCAAACCGTGGAGTGGGAATTCACCGGTCAAACTAAACTCTACCAAAAGAATTTGTGAAGCCATCCAAAAGACAAGAGTAAAATTCTGCCGGTCAAACTTTTAAAGTTGGCCGAAACGGTGAAGACGTTCGAAAAGCAAAAATTGAAGTTTAACCGGTCAAAGTTTCTCGGGCTGATCCTTGAAATAAAGTGGCCAGAGAGAACTTTGAAGTAATACCGGTCAAAAAAAGTATGGTGATTGATTACTATACCGGTCGGGTATCCTATGATGGCGTTCTAAGAGGCAAAGATCAAAGTATCAATCAACAAGCAAGCAGATATGAAAGATTAACCGGTAGGCAAATTAAACGTGGCATTCAAACGGAACAAGCATGTCAAATGTTTACAGATACACCGGGCATTCCCGGGAGAACGAGTTTGAAGTTTTACAAAATAATTCAACCGGTCGCAGCCGGGAAGATTACTCGAGGGGGAAAGGGGGCTCGGGTTCTTCGTCGGGGATGGGCGCCAGGCCATAAGCATCGGCAGAGAAGGCCGGGTCCCGGTCAGCCAGGATAGCGTGGGTAGCCTCCCGGTCTCGTTTCTGCCCGGACATGAAACCATAGGACCCGACCTGGGTGACCATTTCCTTCCCGTTGGGTTCCCGGTAGATAAACTTGAAGGCCTCCATCGTCACCTC